TATCGATGATAAAAATTATTTCGTCACTTTTGTTGACGAATTTACTCACTACACAGTTACTTACCTGATAAAATATAAATCAGAGGTTCTTTCCGTCTTTAAAGATTTTATTGCTAAAGGCGAGGCTCATTTTAACTGTAAGGTAGTGTACCTATATACCGATAATGGGGGTGAATATCTGTCCAATGATTTTAAAGAATTTTGTGTTCAGAAAGGCATAACTTTTCATTTAACTGTTCCACACACCCCACAACAAAATGGTGTAGCAGAACGCATGAACCGTACACTAACTGAAAAAGCACGTACAATGATAATTACCTCTGGCTTAGATAAATCTTTTTGGGGTGAAGCTGTGCTCACAGCAACTTATTTAATTAATATCTTGCCAACTTCTGCTCTGCGAATAAATAAGAGGCCATACGAAATGTGGCATGATAAAAAGCCACAATTGAAATTACTGAAAATATTTGGATCTACCGTTTACATACATAATAAAACGAGAAAATCCAAGTTTGATGAAAAATCTTTCAAAGGCATTCTAGTGGGATATAATCCTAACGGCTACAAAGTGTGGAACGTAAATACGATAAATATGATGGAATCGGCCGATACTTGATGAAAATCCATAACTAACGTATTCCAAAAACACTTTATTGTGAGATTTTCACTAATTTCACAATTTCACTAATTTCACAATTTAGTGAAAATCTCACAATAAAGTATTTTTGGAATACGTAAATACGAGAAGTTTCCTAACGGCTCGCGATGTAATCATTGACGAGACCAATTTCAAAATTACGAGGCCAACAATAGTTAATGAAACCTTATTGCCTAATACGAACCATAAAAATTCTGAAAAATCAGAAGTTCCTTTTGAACAAGGCGAATCGTCCAAAAGTGACCCACATTTTCCCGAAAATAATTTAAATTTAAGGAGAAGTGAAAGAGTTAANATTTACAAAACCATTACCAGCAGTCAAATTCATCAATATAAGGAATAGTATTGGGCTAAAATGAAGTAATCGATTAGTTACCTGTCGAAGAATACTATATTCATCTACCTGTCATTATTAACAGATTGTAACATTATTTAGTTGAAATTAAACATGCATATGTGCTCAATAATCTTTCAGGATTTTATTCTTTCTTGATCTCATTTTTGAGTGGGAGTGTTAAAATATGTATCTAAACAGATGATGTACAAAAACGAATCTACGTTCCCAGAAAGCTGACCTGATAAGTGTCAAGGGAAACGAATAAAACTGAAGGGTCTTACTTATTTATGACCATGTTTATTTAGGATAATGATTGTGCATTCCTACGTGCGCCGTAATCTTATATTAATGGATTTTAACAATGCCCTCGAATAGGTCTGGGGTGTGAAGATATAAATATGATAAGAATATAACTAGTCAGTCGTTCTTATGTGTCTAAAGTAGAAGCACTGAAATATACTCTAGTGTTCTCCTTTTAATTGTGTTTTATTCAACCACTGATGAACTGTGTAATAATTCAATATTAATTGCTATTTTTTTGTTGTTTAGTAACATCAAGGCGATGTGACCTTGAAGTGTCTGGTGCATGGATCGTTCAGAATTTTTTTCTCCATATGAGATTTTGTGTGTGTGTGTGTGTGTGTGACATAGTGACGTAATTACATTTGATTGGTGTGTGTGTGTGTGTGTGAGAGAGAGAGAATGCACGGTACAGGGTTTTCATCATGTGCTTGTCTATGTACAAACATACGTCTGCATACTTCGAAGATCTTTCAAGTGATGAATGTTCCTTCGGTGTGAGCCCACCAAGTTAGTAGATATGTGACGTCATAGCAGCAACCGTTCAACGGTAGGAGAACGAGATGTTCACTCCACGACGTGTGGCTGAGTAATTCGTATTCATCGGTGTGCCCTTACCTCTCTCGATACGGTGAAGGCTGTGACGTAACGCATCGCTCTAGCCTTGCTATCGATGGTGACACGCAGGCGGCCGAGGACTGTGTTACTCCTCCCACCACTATGACGTATTATTTGCTTTTTAGGGCTACATTATTCATACAAACAGTAGTAGTAGTAGATTATGTGACAAATGACTGCTTTGACTGAAAAAGTCGAAGTTGGGAATTTGTTAGTCATTGTATATCTGTGCATTATATTACAAATTACTGTTTTCACTGAAAAGTCGAAGTTGGGAATTTGTTCTGATCTGTTATATAGCAAAAATTATAAGAAATGCTAAAAAATATTCAAACTCATTTTCGAAAGACTGGTGGCGCCATCTTTTGTCACGCCTTTTATTTCTCATTGACTAATTTAGTCAATTTGTAAACGATTTCTCGTTGTTCTACAATTTGGCGTGAGGGTGGCAACTACGGATTAGAGAGAGCGCAAAGCTCCGACGGTAGGCCGCCAGCTTTTAAACAGTGAAGAAGGGCATAGATGTAGGGTATAGCGCCACTCGCTTTATCAACCCTGGAGCTCATATAGCATACCAAACAAAAACGGGAAATTTATTATAAACGGTAACCAATTGAATCAAACTCAGATCCAGTAAAAATATCTATAATTCATTTCCTCAACATACACACCTTTCTCAGTTGGTTCCAAGCTTGTTAACAAATCCCTTGATTTATCTGTCAGTTCATAAATTGTATCAACCGTTATTATAAGGACTTCCCCTACAATACTGGCAGGAAGCCTTGAGCTCCTGAGGTCACAAAGTGTCAAATGTGAGAAGACTTCCTAAGTCCTGACGTCACAAGTAGGCGGAGCTTAGCGAACTTTTCCAAACAAAACGATTTCACATGTTAAAACGCCATAAGAAATTATTTATATATTTATTGTATGTGCTTGCATTGCTAATAAGGACATTCGCGTACATTTTTGATTTGGTGTCAGTCAGTTGTAACATATTTTGAAAAAATCTCCATTGGTAGGTAACGTTTTTAATGAAAATTCAAGAATTGTTATGTTTGTTGAGGTTATGTTATTTTTTCAATTGAAATATAGTTACTTAACATCTATTGTTCCAGATATAAAGTGGCTTGAAAACATGTTTTAAAGCTATCCTCTTTAAATGATTTACTCGACAATGATAATAAAATCATGAAAAAGGCTGAAAATGCCTTGGAATCGAAACATGTGGAAAGTATGCAGTTTGATGCTGAGTTGATGATGATAAAAGGAAGAGAAGTTCATGCAAGCATGAAAGATAAATTCTATCATGTTGAAGTGAGTCATATGTCATGTATAAGTTTTCCATTTTTACCGAACAGTACCTTTGTTGCAGATCACACTGAATAAATCGGAAGATATCATATCTGCAAATTGCGCTTCTCCTAGAGGAATAAAATGTCATCATATCGCCACATTAGCTCTTTTTTGGACACTACAATATATCTGTGATGGACAAGGAGTATGATCCACTGTGGGCAG